TCACCTTCTCACCTCCAGATGCCTATACTCATCACCTTCTCACCTCCAGCTGCCTATACTCATCACCTTCTCTCACCTCCAGCAGCCTATACTCATCACCTCTCTCACCTCCTATACTCATGCCTATACTCCAGATCACCTTCTCACCTCCAGCAGCCTATACTCATCACCTTCTCACCTCCCAGCCTATACCTATACTCATCACCTTCTCACCTCCAGCAGCCTATACTCATCACCTTCTCACCTCCAGATGCCTATACTCATCACCTTCTCACCTCCAGCAGCCTATACTCATCACCTTCTCACCTCCAGATGCCTATACTCATCACCTTCTCACCTCCAGATGCCTATACTCATCACCTTCTCACCTCCAGCAGCCTATACTCATCACCTTCTCACCTCCAGCATGCCTATACTCATCACCTTCTCACCTCCAGCAGCCTATACTCATCACCTTCTCTCCAGATGCCTCCAGCATCACCTCTCACCTCCAGCATCACCATCACCTTCTCACCTCCAGCTGCCTATACTATCACCTTTCCAGCTCCAGCCTATACATACTCACCACCTTCTCACCTCCAGCAGCCTATACTCATCACCTTCTCAGCTCCAGCAGCCTATACTCATCACCTTCTCACCTCCAGCAGCCTATACTCATCACCTTCTCACCTCCAGCAGCCTATACTCATCACCTCTCACCTCCAGCAGCCTATACTCATCACCTTCTCACCTCCAGCAGCCTATACTCATCACCTTCTCACCTCCAGCAGCCTATACTCATCACCTTCTCACCTCCAGCAGCCTACACTCATCACCTTCTCACCTCCAGCAGCCTATACTCATCACCTTCTCACCTCCAGATGCCTATACTCATCACCTTCTCACCTCCAGCAGCCTATACTCATCACCTTCTCACCTCCAGCAGCCTATACTCATCACCTTCTCACCTCCAGCAGCCTATACTCATCACCTTCTCACCTCCAGCAGCCTATACTCATCACCTTCTCACCTCCAGCAGCCTTATACTCATCACCTATTTCTCTCACCCTCCAGCTACCTATACTCATCACCTTCTCACCTCCAGCAGCCTATACTCATCACCTTCTCAGTTCCAGCAGCCTATACTCATCACCTTCTCAGCTCCAGATGCCTATACTCATCATTTTCTCACATCCAGCAGCCTATACTCATCCCCCTCTCAGCTCCAGCTGCCTATACTCATCACCTTCTCACCTCCAGCAGCCTATACTCATCACCTTCTCACCTCCAGCAGCCTATACTCATCACCTTCTCACCTCCAGATACCTATACTCATCACCTTCTCAGTTCCAGCAGCCTATACTCATCACCTTCTCACCTCCAGCAGCCTATACTCATCACCTTCTCAGCTCCAGCAGCCTATACTCATCACCTTCTCACCTCCAGCAGCCTATACTCATCACCTTCTCAGCTCCAGATGCCTATACTCATCATTTTCTCACATCCAGCAGCCTATACTCATCCCCTCTCAGCTCCAGCTGCCTATACTCATCACCTTCTCACCTCCAGCAGCCTATACTCATCACCTTCTCACCTCCAGCAGCCTATACTCATCACCTTCTCACCTCCAGCTACCTATACTCATCACCTTCTCACCTCCAGCAGCCTATACTCATCCCTTCTCACCTCCAGCAGCCTATACTCATCACCTTCTCACCTCCAGCAGCCTATACTCATCACCTTCTCACCTCCAGCTACCTATACTCATCACCTTCTCAACTCCAGCAGCCTATACTCATCACCTTCTCACCTCCTAGCAGCCTATACTCATCACCTTCTCACCTCCAGCAGCCTATACTCATCACCTTCTCACCTCCAGCTGCCTATACTCATCACCTTCTCACCTCCAGCAGCCGATACTCATCACCTTCTCATCTCTGAAATTATGAGATTTGAGGGGTCTGAATACTTGAGGTATCCTTTATAGAATTATTTTTATGTGACTTTGATTTTCGGTAACTCTATTTCAGGGATGTAAAGTTAGCCAGTAAATCAAACAGTGCTCAATATTTAATTTACTGATTGTCTTTACTTGAGATATGTTATGGGATACTTCTGTGGTGTGAAGCTATTTCACAGTGTAGAGTTGATGATGCCATCTTCCTGATACTGATGAACATTGGTCCCTCAGCGCTATTCCCTTGATTGATGCTCTGCATCATTTTGTTTTCTTTTAGACACTATGATATGATTGAATAGAAATACTGTTCAAATCTCTGCTTAAACAAACTCACTTGCCTCAAGCTACAATATGCAAAGGTTAGCAATGGGTGTTGATGAAATATGTACATGAAGATATAGGGCTGCCGAGAAAAATATGTATTTTGAAACCTAATTCAAAGTAGGGTCTTCCTGTATGTTAAATATATTTATAGGTCACCTGTTGTTGGAAAAGCCTGTGTGGGTTATTAAGATCATTTTAAAAATTGAAATAAGACCATGGTTTAATTGGTTTCAGTGCTACTGATCTTATTTCCCCATTTTGTTCTTGGCACTGGATCTCACAGGTCCACAACTAGTTTATCCAGCAAAACAAAGAAAGCCAATTATTCCTTGTTCATTTCACACTAGGGCAATGTACCAATACCGGGTATTAGTCTCTCCCTTACAACTCGGATCCAGAGAACCACAATCTAAGCAACATGCAAATTTGGTATTCTGATAAGATTTAAACCTGATAATATACTACTCCAGATTTAAAGGCAAGAATTTTATGGATGTCAACTTCTTTATTTTGATGGACACAACGTTTCCGAGTATATTCACCTGATGAAGGAGTAAGAATATGCTCGGAAACGTTGTGTCCATCAAAATAAAGAAGTTGACATCCATAAAATTCTCGCCTCTATATGTATCACTTCTCAAGGCTCTTCAAAGACTCTATACTACAGTTTTGATAGGGAAATCAAATGTGTCATTCTATGTACATAGATCTGGCATAATATGAGAATCTGTTCAGCGTATTATGGAAGTTATCCCTGTCAAACATTGAGTGGTATATGATGGATAGATTTCACCATATGTAGTGTTTCCGTTGCCGATACCATATCAAACAAAATTTTACATTACAGTAGTTGATCAATGAAATGCATTTCACCAGGTCAGAAAGACAGAATTTGTAAACGACCATTCTTCACGTAGATAGCTGAACGTGATGAGCATTTATGAGCTTGTACGACATCACAAATTCACAACACATTTTGAAATGCCCAGCCGGCGTGTTTAGTGGTATTTAATTGACACCTATTGTCATGTGACTCCGTGTTCAGGTGTCGCAGCGATGCATCAACGTGGATTAATCACTCGCGTTTTCATACCATGACATGAATGCTCTCCAGGGGGCACTGTATTGCTATCCATCACTGTTACTTTCGTGGTCATCATTTTGACTGTGAAATCCATCCCAACTCCTGGTGTCCCTCATGAAACATGCAGCATGTATATATACATGTGTGATGCTTTCATATGTCAATAAATATTGAAATTGACAATTTTCTGGAATGTACATGGTTTCAAATGACAGAGGAATTTGTTGTCCTGAGTGACTGCACTGAGGAAATGGAACCTTTTGGATGAACTGATGTATTTTTGTATGTTAGGACTGTTTTATTTCTTGGTTTCTTAATTAAAGATATTTTGGTCAATTTGCTCACTGGAATCACAGGATAAAAGTTAAGTAGTAAAGTGGTAGACGTTTAATGGATTTGTGCACTTGATAGGCTCAAGATAGCTTCAGCTTTGTCCCACTCTGAAACATGCATGTTATGCCTTGTACGCCATGGCTTTCAAAAGGATTGTCAATGACAAGTAAACAGGTACCTGGTAAGAAGAGGTGGAACATGAGCACATGCATTACACACGTCTATCATCATCAGCAGCAGCATCATCATCATCATCATCATCATCATCATCATCATCATCATCATCATCATCATCTTCGCTATCATTGTCATACTCTTCATTGTCATTATAATGATGCAGACAGACATATATGAAATTGTAACCAACTGTAATCACCAAAATCTTGACACACAACACTTGACTTAGCAAATGGCATTAATAAGATAAATCCTTTCTGTCAAGCGTTTTTCAACAAACATCAGTGTGAGATCAGTTTCCAGAAAAATAAACCTTGTAAAGACACTTCCTACCTTTGTGGAAAGTTAAATGATCTGAGGAATAATGTTTACCAACTATTCTTGAAAATAGCTAACTCTCCTGTGGTTTAGTATTGATTTCAGTGCTCAAGGTATCATTCATTCTAAGATGAAATGATATATCTGAGTATTTATCTAAAAGCTGTTTTCAATTTGGGAATCATTTAAAAGTCTTGGTATTCACTGAAGAAGAGTAGAATCCTTACTTCGTTGTTTCACATTTAAATGTTAGGATGTCGAAATAATACTTCAGTGCAGTATGATCATTCTAAATTCAAGCTCCCATACCCTCTCATCTTGATACTATCTAGTTTGATTTGATATGAAAATGTTCCCCATCAAAAGGTCTTAAAGTGACCTATAGAATGAATGAAATCCAGATTTAAATAACTTCATAGATTAATTTTTTAATACTGGAACAAGTAAGAGATAAAAAAGTGTCTCTCATTAGTAAAGTTAGTAAAGCTTCTGAATCCTGTGTTTCATAGTGTAATATAATTGCAAGTCTGCTCTTGCCTAATGAAAAGGGACTAAATGAAAAGACTTGAAAATCAGTCACCCGTGACAATACCCTTTCATTAGTTTCACTTTATACTGCAGTCAGGATTTCACAGTTGGTCGCACACTAACAGCAGATATCCGATCACAGGGGCAAATCTTTTGACGATAACCCGGTGTTCACAAAAAGCCGTCTCCAGTGTTTTATACTATTATGAGTATTATCTGTGGGATCATTTGTGTTTTCTAACCTTCATCTGTCATTGAGTCGACACTTTGAATAATTTACGACTTTGACTGTTTCAGTTTGGTTGAACTACGCTGACCAGCCGGGACAGAGCAGATATCCACTGTTCCGAGGACAAACAGCAGGTCCGACAGCCGGACGGCCAGATTGTAGGTGCTCCTGCTTCATTATTGATGTGATTACGTTTGATTAGTTATTCATAGGCTCGCGACCAACAGATAACATTTGGCTGCAGGCACGGTGGGGCTGGCATCGGGTGGGGTGCTTTCAAGGGGCGATGGAACGTGACCAATCAGCTCTCAGCTGACATCTGGCTAGCAGAAGTGTGTCTGTTTGTCATTACAAGGTTATACATTGGTTATTGTTATCGTAGTTATCGTTGGTAAATATAATTTTCCCGAACACTGTTTGGGACAAGGTTTACTTAGTGATGAGGCTGAAAAATTGGAATAGGTTTTAAATCAGCCGTGTTCACGATGCCTTGTCTGAAGGATGATGGGACATAAAGATGTCATTTAGTAATCCTTGTGTAGCGATGGTTGTCTTTTGATGTAGACTGTTTGATGATGTCATGGCTCTATTTTGAAGGATTTTTGATGATTATGATCACTTGGGATTTCAATTTAGTCATACATATTTTTTTTAAATTTTAATCCCTGAATGAAATTTTACTGTGTTTTGGTATGATTACATCATGTGTGAATGACAATTGGTTTTAGGCCACTATGAATCATTGTATGCCAAGGGCCTGGTGGTTGATGAGTTTATTCAGCCCCACAGAGGTACAAAGTGTGAAGCAGGTACCCTTCATATTGCTTTTGTAGCATATAACCCAACTCACCAACTGTGCACAGTGGTTCACCTTAGCTGTTTGAATCATAGACACTAAACAATGAGTGAGTGAGTTTAGTTTTATGTCGCTTTTAGCAATATTTCAGCAATATCAGAGTGGGGGACACCAGAAATGGGCTTCATGCATTATACCCATGTGGGGAATAGAACCCGGGTCTTTGGCATGATAAGCGAACGCTTTAACCACTAGGCTACCCCAGCATCCCGTCCCATCAGTCATGCTTGTTAACATCAAAAGCACTGACGTCTGTGATTTGCTTTCTCTGGTTTCTCATCACGTCATCATCAGGACAAAATTGGACATAACTGAAATATAAGATTTCAAAGTAAGTCAATAAATTGATCATAGCTGGTTTGAGATGTTTTACGATCTTTTAATCTCTAATTAGTGAATTGCGAATGTTTATTCTTTTGTATTTGGAATGGTTCATACAAAAGGCTCCTATCAGAGACATTTTGTGCCGAATGTAATACAGAAACAATTTAAAGGCACAATATATCATTTTTGTTATTTCATTTTTTGTGTCAAACACTTGCATGGCTTACCTCATTACAGATAACCACCATCTGTGTCTGCGTATATTAATGTGATGCAATACACAAAAACACATACTAGTGACATCCACTCTTCTACCCAGAGTTCCATGCGGCAAGCTAGCATAGTATCTCTGCCACAGGCCAGAAAAATGTGACAATTCGTCACATCTTGCACCGTCCATTCAATATAATTTACATATTTCTCAACTCGTTTATTTTTGACGAGTCTACACAACTAATTAAACATCTTTGATAGAATGGTTTAGTTTCATTGAGAAAATATCCTAAAACATGTAACACTATTTCGGTTTGCGTAGCGATCCTTTGTTTACATAGGTTGTAAGGTTCCACGTGCTGTCATCGAAGCTGATGCAAACGATGCAGCCAGTTTTATATCTAAATATGTACTGTCATAGACCTCACTGTCGCAGTTGTGGAAGAATATATATGTAACAATGTAAAACATTATGAAGAGAGCGCCAAAAAGCTTTCATGAGTCCAGTCTCTTCTTATTATGAATATGCGTGTTTGATTACAAACAAGAGAAAAGTCCGGTCACGTGACATGCAAATTAGCCTGTGGCAGTGATGTTATGTTAAGTCATCGCTGTGCCGGAGTGTGAGTGACATCATGTTGCATGTACACATAAACCAGTGACATGATGCTGTATGTACACACAAACCAGTGACATCTTGTCTGAATGTACACACAAACCAATGACATCATGTCATATTACACCCAAAACAGTGCAAACAGGATCTTAGGTAGGACTGGTATGTGAAGCTTTAAATTAAAAACTGCCAATGCATGAATTTATCACTGATCTCTCTCTCTCTCTCTCTCTCTCTCTCTCTCTCTCTCTCTCTCTCTCTCTCTCTCTCTCTCTCTCTCTCTCTCTCTCTCTCTCTCTCTCTCTCTCTCTCTCTCTCTCTCTCTCTCTCTCTCTCTCCTCTCTCTCTCTCCTCCCTCCTTCCATCCTGCTATAGAATACGATTTTTTTTTAATTTCAACAACAAAAAATGTTTTACTGCTGAAATATTAGAACCTCCAATATTTGTCTGTTAGTAAGAAAATTTAAACTCAAAATCTAATTAAGTTTAAAAAAGGAAGTTGCATGGGTAACAAAAAAAAACAAAGTTGGACTAGTTTGGTTTGTAATGATGTTTGGTTGTTTCAGAGTATGGAAATAATAATATGAATGTATCAAAATTATCTGCTCTGAAGTAAAAGAACTCTCAATAACAAGTAGTGTCATTATATTGATTTAGGGAAACAAAGATCGACCAATGATGTGCACAGAAGCATTGACCAATGTCATCCACAGAACACACCAAACTCTCAATTCATGTCTATTGCCCAGGTTGGTTTTAAGCGAGAACACAGCTTTTTGTAGAAGTTGGGTGCACTTCAACATAAAACATGCATGATGAATCCAAATAATTAATGAAATATTGCATGTTTTGTAGTCGTGTTTTTTTTGTCCAACACTTAAGATCAAATGATTTTGTTATCTTTCATGTCTCTTTTGTATGTTTGAATGATATAATTAAAGGGGGAGTGTAAGCCCTTCCACTGGGTTTGTCTATGTGAGTGTATGTCTCCTTTTTTGTAGGGTTGCATGATATAATTAAAGGGGAAGTGTAAGCCCTTCCACTGGACTTGTGTATGTGTGTATCAGAAAGGAGCTATTTGTTTCTTGTCTTTGTTTGGTTTTCAGATTAGTTATTTGATACCGTCAATCAAATTACAAATGGAGATAATTTAATTTCTTTTTTCATTTGATGATTAAACCAGTGTAGAAGGGATTAAAAAATGTACACAACTTCAGATGGAACAAAACAACTGTCAGGAATTATAAAAATGTGTTTATTTGAATTTATCGAATGATTGGTGTTTCCTTTGGCACTTAAAAAAAATATCAGAGAACTAACCACTTTTTGACAGAAGTAAAATTGTTTTTGTATAGTAAAATAGGTAGGAAACCATTACTTTTGCTGTCTTCTTCTGTGATACTGAGACGATTGGAACTCCTAACTGTAACGTAACTGTATCAGTGGAAGTCGCAGTAGCTGAGGGGGTTAGACTGCTGATTTTGTGTGCTGGCGATTGCGAGCCTGACTCTGTGGGTGTGGGTTCGAATCCCGGATGGACGCAACCTTACATAAAGTACTAGAATTTCTACCTTACTGAAAAAGTGTAATCCCAAATATTACATATGTTATAACTGTAACATAGATTTTCAGTAGTCATGGTACTACGATGGCTTTGTGCAGGATACATGGACTTGCATTTTGATAAATCTAGCGCCATGCTTGTGAGTTTCAGGATCTGATATTGTAGGACTTTGAATTTTATTGAACAATTTGATTTGCTACACAGTTACAAACCAACCACAACATTGTCACCTGTCCAATTTATAACAATTTTTGAGAAATTAGAATATTCATTGAAAAACTCACTGACACACACAAGAAAGTTCTCCTGGTTCACCTCCTTTACCCAATTTCTTTTTCATTATCTCCATGAGTGATTGGTCAGTAAAATGTGCATGAAAATCAAGGGCGGGTATTTCGAGATCCTGAAAACCACCGGAATAGATCCAGGGGTTGTAAGTTGACTGAAATCCCTGCCTCGGAGAGATGGATGATGCTACACCTAACAATTCAACACAACATCAAATATTCTACACATAATTCAATTTACTGTTAATTTGGAACAAATCTGTATTACATAGAATCACAATGTATGGCCACATATATAGAGCACTGGTTGTATTCCATGTATAATATAACCCATAAACCTGATATACTACTGTCCTAAAGACTGACTCTGTACTGGGGGATAAATATACAAACAGTTTCCTTCATATTGTAGTCATGGTAACAATAAACTTTCGTAGGGGTCAAATTAAAAACATGATTGAAATAAATGCAGCATGATACTTTTTGAAACCATTTTCTGCTGCCAATTAAGTGTTCTACTTGCATTATGTGTACATGTGGTGTTATGACACTGTTAAGTATGTAATATATGTTTTCAAGCAACAGCTTGTCTGCAGTGCGTATGCAAGGCCACAACATAATGATGTATAGTTAGATGATGTTCATATGCAAATGGGCATGGACACATATGTTCCTTAACTGAACAAAAACTTTGGAAGCGATGAGTATGTGGTGGTGAATTTTACGTAGGATTTTAATATATGTGTGTATGTGATAATATTGGTATCCACAGGCTGTGAGACTTAATTCAGACATGATTAAAGTACAGTGTTTATTTGGGATTGCAGTGTCGACAGGTGGGCCTGCTGTATGAGAATGGACAGGTGAAATTTGCATTATATTAATGTGGCATTCTGTACATTGATATCAGTGTCTCCACACAGCTGGCTTACTTACCAGAGGATATGCATTGTCATCTTGACATGAGCTGCATATTGCTCTTGTATAGGGATTGGTTTGCTGGTTCCTGTTGGTGTTACCTGCTATTTTGGTTTTTGTAATAAATCAGCAGAGGTATGCGTATCGTCCAAACCCTGGTCGACCCTGGTTCAAAAATAATGTTTGACCAGAATACATCAGGGGCTGCCACATGACCCATGTTGGTGACCATACCATGTGTTGTAGATACATGGACAGCATTTGGAAATGTGAAATTGATCCGAACCACCAAAATAATGACTTTGTAGACATTTGGAGTCAGCTGTCTATAATCCCTAAAACTCAAACACCAATGTTAAGAAACTAACAAACGTTACAGTATTTGTGGAAAGAGCAGAGCCCTTATTCTCAGAACATTCATAGCCCTATGAATTCTTAATTTTGATCATAGAAAATGTGTTCAGAATGGGCTTAAGAAGTTTGTAGGGCTACGAACGTTTCGAGAATAGCTGCCCAGGTCCTGTGCAGTTATCTTACTACTGACAAATAAGTCCATGGGCACTCACTCACTCACTCACTCACCAAAACCCCACCCACTCACCTACTCACTCACCACCACTCACTCACTCACTCACTCACTCACTCACTCACTCACTCACTCACTCACTCACTCACTCACTCACTCACTCACTCACTCACTCACTCACTGTTGGAGTAGCTACAGTATCAGGATGTTTTTCCCTTTATGACCTGTTTCCAGACAATGAGATATGTATCTGAAATAGTGCCTGTCCTCGTCTTGCATACCAGTTACATCACATTAACCACTTATCTTACATAGGTACAATATTGTCTGGTGAATCAATCAAGAAAACTCTTCTTCAGTGTTATGACATCACATGAATTGCCGTTATTTATGTAAACCATTTTGTCAGTTCCATACTGTCTCATATATTTATTTTCTTTAAGGTATCATTTATCAGACACTTCAGTGTCATCATTATATGGCCTTGTCGTTTTTGTAATACTTTAAGGCTGTAGGTAGCCAAGTGGTTCAGGTGTTTGCTCCTCACACTGAAGACTTTGGTCTGGTTCTGTACATTGGTAAAAAGTTGTATGACTCTTCTGGTATCACCAACTATGATACTGTTTGAATATTGCTAAGCTAATACTCACTCATAATATTCATCACTATATTTGTATGGGAAAAATATTGCTGATGCGGCGATGTATATTACCTCACTCATGCACTCATCTTAATAATCATTAGATTTACTTCTGCTCTTACATAGTTTTTATCAATGTATAGAGGCAGGTTTGAATAAGTTCGTTTCCACGACAATTTTTGTGTTTTTTGCAACCTTTTACTGTAACTCGCTATGAAGGCTCGTCAGGAAGATGGCAGCCGTGTCAGTGTTTGAATGTGGAACTGTAGTGCGAACTTGATGAGGGGCGCTCAGGATCGGAGTGGTTAATTTTGCTATTCAATTCATGTCACGCTCATTACAGAGCAGGGAAATCAGCGGCAATTCTTTCAGCAAGATAGGTATCGACGTGGACCTAGCTTGATGGTGATTTCAATGCCAGTGGAATTATTTTGCCTAAATGAGAAAGGGGATTTTTTTCGTCTTTTGAGATTGATCCCAAATGACGAGTGAGATCGTCAGATGTTTCTGTCCCCTTTTGCGAGTCATGTCCGGCCCAGCGTTGGTTGAGAACACTGATTGCGTAGTCCGGGCAGAACACTTGTATTTCCTATGGGAGAATACAACAGCTGTGGTCCGATGGATTTCTTCCTCTGCTTCTAATAGGAGCCCAAAGATTGAACTCACCACTCCAAAACTGTTTATTTGGGGCATGTCAGGTGCAAGAAAGAAGAATTTTCTAAGCTTCTAATCAGAAACTCCGCTAATAAATAATAAATTCTCTGACATTTAATTTTGTTATCAAGGAAGCTTGTTGTGGTTGGTTTTCAACTTGCATGGTGGATGTACGTTACTTCAGTGAGTCTAGCTCAGCTGTCCTCGCCAGCACATCTGCAACAAAAAGAATATTTCCTCCCTATTCCATGTGCTCCTTGCAGCATTCTGATTGGCTGAAGGGCTTTGGGAAGAAAACTGACATTAACGATGGGAGATGGTTGCTGTAAAAAGTAAAACAGGGTGCGAAATTGGAAACTGCTTATGAAATGGCCACACAAAGACTTACAGTACATCTCATGTCATAATACAACTGGATAGTTATATCTGGTCCATTTGGTCTGGATAGTTTTATCTGATTAAAATATATTCCAAACATGGTTAGTTTGTTCAAATATGTTAAATATTCTTGAAAATTCTTAAAATTTTACTGTTAAGTTTAGTAAAAGTCTTGATTGTTCTGCTTTTGTCCATGACACATGCATTATTTTGTGTTCATTACCTGGCTTGTCTCCCTTTCAGAATGTTCCCATTTTGATTTTTTACATACATGCACCCTATTTGGTTTGTCTGCTGTTTTACTGGACTGTTGTTTTACTTGCACCCTATTTTGCTTAGCTGTTGTTTTACTAGACTGTTGTTTTGCCTGCACCCTATTTGGTTTGCCGTTTTTTTTGCCTGCAAACATTTTGCTTGTCTATCATTTTGCCTGTATGCTTTTTTGCTTGTCTCTTGTTTTGCCTGCACCCTATTTTGCTTGTCTATTGTTTTGCCTGCATGTGTTTTTGCTTGTCTATTGTTTTGCCAGCACCCTTTTTATGCTTGTCTCTTGTTTTGCCAGCACCCTTTTTTGCTTGTCTTTTGTTTTGCCTGCATGCGGTTTTGCTTCTCTGTTGTTTTGCCTGCACCCTATTTTGCTTGTCTATTGTTTTGCCTGCATGTGTTTTTGCTTGTCTATTGTTTTGCCAGCACCCTTTTTATGCTTGTCTATTGTTTTGCCAGCACCCTTTTTTGCTTGTCTTTTGTTTTGCCTGCATGTGTTTTTGCTTGTCTATTGTTTTGCCAGCACCCTTTTTATGCTTGTCTCTTGTTTTGCCAGCACCCTTTTTTGCTTGTCTTTTCCTTTGCCTGCATGCTTTTTTGCTTCTCTATTGTTTTGCCAGCACCCTTTTTTGCTTGTCTGTTGTTTTGCCAGCATGCTTTTTGCTTGTCTATTGTTTTGCTTGTACCCACTGAGGGGGGTCTATGTTACCATTCTCAGCTGTGTATATTTGTAGATATTACAAAGGGATCCATACACTCGCAGAGTGCATTGATCAATTGATGTGCTATTGATTCATTGATTGGCTCCTCTTGTGTTGTACTCAACAGCAGTCTTGCATTCTAAGAATATTTGCTGTTGGCAAATGAATCTATTGAGTGGCAAGAATTAGACTTCATTACACAAATGTACAATATTTCATATGTACTTTAATGTCATATTTAGCTGTACATGACATGCAGTGGTGAATTGAGGATAATTACATTCATACTGACATATAAGATAACCTTTGTTTTGTGGAAAATGATGAAGATGGTTTAGTTTTCAACCAGAAAGTACATTGTCAGTGTTTTATAGATATGAAAGTGGATACATTAATTGATAGTTTGTAAGAACAATATGATAATCCATGTGGGTCTTTTTTGTTTGAAATAATTGGTTCCTGAATGTCCAAAACAAAATTTCAAGTTTTACATGTAACAAATCAATCATTTGCAGGAAATGCAGACTTGCAGAAAGATGATATATTTTGAATAAGAATTGTATCCCTGTTTAATCCTATCCATTGTGTAGCATTGAAAGAAGAAACATTCTTTATCGAAAACACCCTTGACCACAACCAAGAATATTAGACACATTTTCCTTTACATGCACTTAAGTGGAAGCTGCGGTGGCTGAGCGGGTTAGGCATCTGACTTTGTGTGCTGATGATTAGGTGCCTGACTATGAGGGTGTGGGTTCGAATCCCAACAAAAAGTACTAGACAAAAGTACTAGAATCTATACTTTACTAAGAAAGTGTAACTCCAAATATAACACATGTTACATTTGACCACTTTCTAAATGACATTGTGAATTCATTTATATGTTGTTTAGCTCTGATTAGAGGGTCAGTCTGTTGCTGGTTACACAATGTGTGACATATATATGACATGTGGTTGTGATTAGAGGGTCAGTCTGTTGCTGGTTACACAATGTGTGACATATAGATGCCATGTAGCTCTGATTAGAGGGTCAGTCTGTTGCTGGTTATACAATGTGTGACATATATATGTTGTTTAGCTCTGATTAGAGGGTCAGTCTGTTGCTGGTTACACAATGTGTGACATATATATGTTGTTTAGCTCTGATTAGAGGGTCAGTCTGTTGCTGGTTACACAATGTGTGACATATATATGTTGTGTAGCTCTGATTAGAAGGTTAATCTGTTGCTGGTTGCACAATGTGTGACATATATATGTTGTGTAGCTCTGATTAGAAGGTTAATCTGTTGCTGGTTACACAATGTGTGACATATAGATGACATGTAGCTCTGATTAGAGGGTCAGTCTGTTGCTGGTTACACAATGTGTGACATATATATGTTGTTTAGCTATGATTAGAGAGTTAGTCTGTTCTTGGTTACACAATGTGTGACATATATATGTTGTTTAGCTCTGATTAGAGGGTCAGTCTGTTGCTGGTTACACAATGTGTGACATATATATGTTGTGTAGCTCTGATTAGAGGGTCAGTCTGTTGCTGGTTACACAATGTGTGACATATATATGTTGTGTAGCTCTGATTAGAGGGTCAGTCTGTTGCTGGTTACACAATGTGTGACATATATATGACATGTAGCTCTGATTAGAGGGTCAGTCTGTTGCTGGTTACACAATGTGTGACATATATATGTTGTGTAGCTCTGATTAGAGGGTCAGTCTGTTGCTGGTTACACAATGTGTGACATATATATGTTGTGTAGCTCTGAGTAGAGGGTCAGTCTGTTGCTGGTTACACAATGTGTGACATATATATGACATGTGGTTCTGATTAGAGGGTCAGTCTGTTGCTAGTTACACAATGTGTGACATATATATGTTGTGTAGCTCTGATTAGAGGGTCAGTTTGTTGCTGGTTACACAATGTGTGACATATATATGTTGTGTAGCTCTGATTAGAGGGTCAGTCTGTTGCTGGTTACACAATGTGTGACATATATATGACATGTGGTTCTGATTAGAGGGTCAGTCTGTTGCTGGTTACACAATGTGTGACATATATATGTTGTGTAGCTCTGATTAGAGGGTCAGTCTGTTGCTGGTTACACAATGTGTGACATATAGATGACATGTAGCTCTGATTAGAGGGTCAGTCTGTTGCTGGTTACACAATGTGTGACATATAGATGACATGTAGCTCTGATTAGAGGGTCAGTCTGTTGCTGGTTACGCAATTCATGACATATATATGTTGTTTAGCTATGATTAGAGGGTTAGTCTGTTGCTGGTTGCACAATGTGTGACATATATATGTTGTTTAGCTCTGATTAGAGGGTCAGTCTGTTGCTGGTTACACAATGTGTGACATATATATGACATGTGGTTCTGATTAGAGGGTCAGTCTGTTGCTGGTTACACAATGTGTGACATATATATGTTGTGTAGCTCTGATTAGAGGGTCAGTCTGTTGCTGGTTACACAATGTGTGACATATATATGTTGTGTAGCTCTGATTAGAGGGTCAGTCTGTTGCTGGTTACACAATGTGTGACATATATATGACATGTGGTTCTGATAAGAGGGTCAGTCTGTTGCTGGTTACACAATGTGTGACATATATATGTTGTGTAGCTCTGATTAGAGGGTCAGTCTGTTGCTGGTTACACAATGTGTGACATATATATGTTGTGTAGCTCTGATTAGAGGGTCAGTCTGTTGCACGCATAGTGTGTAATTATTTGTGCCTACCTGACAGTGAGGAGTTGTTTCTGTTTTGGCAAAGTTTTGGTTTGAATGTTGAGAGATAGACATGGTGAGTATTTGATAACATTCAGTTTTTCTGGCATCGAAGTCATCCGTAAATATCAGTAGAAACCTCAGCTCACTGTGGGGCGGACATTGACATCGCATGATGCTATCAAACTTTGTATGACATATGATTCCATGATAGCATTTCTACCTAGACAAGAGTTATTCTGATTATAACTCAATAGTTGCCAAGTATTTGCCAAAATAGCTCTTTCCACAGAGGATGTTCAGTGAGTTCAAAACACAATCATGTATTGGAACCATGGCGACAAGCACAAATGCATTGTTCTGTTGGAACAAGCAGATTAGAATATTATTGGCCATCAATGTTCTGACCTTTAGGGAAGTAGTCCACAAGTTAGATTCTTATAGAATCCCTGAAAAGTGAAGCATTCACCTCAGCAGATTGATGGATAGACTTTGTCTTCTTTGGAAGAAGAGATGTAAGATGTTACCACAGTCTCGGACTGAGTGTGGTGAGCCGTTGATCATCCATGATAAGATTAGGTACTTTTATCCTTAAAGGGCTTTCAAACCTTGGATCATCTTTGAGCCTCTTTTCTTCCCGTCTTGAACTCAGGTGGCCACCCCTTAACAGTGGCGGAGGAAGGAGCATCATCAGCTCCTAAAGTTGACACCAGCCCTAGATGACTGGCTGTTGGAGCGAGCCCTTTCAGCTGGTGACACTTGATGACAGCGTTATTGCCAATATTGTCTATTTTGTCAACAGCGATAACCTAGTCACTTTGATGTGTGAAATATGCTGCTGACTTTGTATTTGGCTCAAATGCAGCCAGAAAGCGTGGAAACTATTCAATCTCATTATAACCAGATCTTAGTTCTCACTAGCCTAAACAAAGATCTGAGGACATCCCATTACAGGTCGCGGCAGAATTACCTTTCATCCATCCAGTCAGATTGCAAATGTGCTTCCTAATCATGCAAGCTTGTTACAGGCTGTACAGATGATTCCGAATGCTAGACATTGTCTATCTCTCCCTTCAACAGGATAAACATTTGAAACCAAAGAAACTTTCCGTAGCACGTGGGAAGTACTACCATACAGTCTTGGCCATCAACAGAACTCTCTTTCGCTCACTTGAAAATTTTAATTTGCGAAATTTGTAAAACTATATTTATCAGAGGGTAGCCATAATGGAGGTCTTCATTTCAAAACAAGTGACATACTCTTAAAAAAGCTGTTTCTTCATTGACTTAGGTCAACTTCCTGTTTGTCACTGGTCGGTCAAAATCCCCAGGTCAGTCCGACATCACCTGTAATGGGATGTCCGTTGAACTTTGGTGTGGGGACAGCAAGTGAACAGATCTGATTTTAATGAGACTGGGGACGTACTGTACTTGATGTATACAAACACTTCTCATCCTTCATGTTTAAACTTGAGGTGGGGTAGCCTAGTGGTTAAAGTATTCACTCATCATGCCGAAGGCCTGGGTTTGATTCCCCACATGGTACAATGTATGAAGCCTGTTTCTGGTGACCCCTGCCATGATATAGCTGGAATATTGCTGAAAGTGGCGTAAAACACAACTCACTCACTCATATTTAAACTGGGAACTTTGTAACCACCTCTTTTATTTATACACCGTTAATAGTACTTAAAATTTGCAGTAAAATCACGATACAACCTGTTCTTTCTTTTTCAGTTGCTAGTTTACAATATCTTACGTTATTTATTTTAAATATGTCTTTTACTTTTGTATTATGTAATCTCTTCAGGTAGGTTGTCACATATGTCAGATTGACATAGAGGGACCCTGCAACATTGATATAGATATATGATGATATAAATACACAGTGGTATATATCTTCAATGATATAATACAGTGATATGTATACCCTGATGTAAATACAGAGTGATATTTCTACAGCGATGTAGTACAGTGACATATATACCCAGCTGTAAATACAGAGTGATATATCTACAGTGATATACTATAGTGCTATATATGTTACAGGGAATATGTATAATCAGGGAATATGCATAATCCCTGAAAATTTCTGGTAATATGTGTAATGTCTGATTCACTAAGGGAATGTACATAATACCTAAAATTTTCAGGAATTATACATATTCCCTGGTTTTAGGAGAGGTTTTTTAGACATATTCCCTGAAACTGTTTGAAAGTTTAAATGCTTAACTTATTGACCATTCTCTCAGCCTCCTGGATCTGTGCTTCATTGGCTTGCTTTCTCTTAAGATGGATATCTTCCTGTCCAGTCTCAATTGTAGATTCAGATGGCGACTCACTTGATGCTGGTGTGGCAAAGTCGGTTTTAACACTTAAATCTTTAAAACTACACGCGCTACCCTTGTTGGAATTCATCCGAGATGTTGTTACTACAATCATTAAGTTGTTTTATCTTAACAAGCTAAAAGTTATATTTTTACATCAAAGGTGTCACACACAAAAACAAAAACATCTAAACTTTCAAACAGTTTCAGGAAATATGTCTAAAACACCTCTCCTAAAACCAGGGAATATTTAAAATTCCTGAAAATTTTAGGTATTATGTACATTCTCTGAGTGAATCAGATATTATACATATTCCCTGTAACATATGTACCCTGATGTAAATGCAGAGTGATATATGTACAGTGATATAGTACAGTGATATATATACCCAGCTGTAAATACAGAGTGATATATCTACAATGATATACTATAGTGATATATATACCCTGATATAAATGCAGAGTGATATATGTACAGTGATATATATACCCGGCTGTAAATACAGAGTGATATATCTACAATGATATACTATAGTGATATATATACCCTGATATAAATGCAGAGTCATATATGTACAGTGATATATATACCCGGCTGTAAATACAGAGTGATATATCTACAATGATATACTATAGTGATATATATACCCTGATATAAATGCAGTCATATATGTACAGTGATATAGTACAGTGATATATATACCCGGCTGTAAATACAGAGTGATATATCTACAATGATATACTATAGTGATATATATACCCTGATATAAATGCAGAGTGATATATGTACAGTGATATATATACCCGGCTGTAAATACAGAGTGATATATCTACAATGATATACTATAGTGATATATATACCCTGATATAAATGCAGAGTGATATATGTACAGTGATATAGTACAGTGATATATATACCCGGCTGTAAATACAGAGTGATATATCTACAATGATATATTATAGTGATATATATACCCTGATATAAATGCAGAGTGATATATGTACAGTGATATAGTACAGTGATATATATACCCGGCTGTAAATACAGAGTGATATATCTACAATGATATATTATAGTGATATATATACCCTGATATAAATGCAGAGTGATATATGTACAGTGATATATATACCCGGCTGTAAATACAGAGTGATATATCTACAATGATATATTATAGTGATATATATACCCTGATATAAATGCAGAGTGATATATGTACAGTGATATAGTACAGTGATATATATACCCGGCTGTAAATACAGAGTGATATATCTACAATGATATATTATAGTGATATATATACCCTGATATAAATGCAGAGTGATATATGTACACTGATATATCACTGGTACAAATATATGGCTGAGATGACAGTAAATGACGTTATCAAATTGTATTTGAACACTGGAACTGAACTCCACAAACAGATGTGAAATAATACAAGCCTTTTAATGATTGTCTGATGTTTGCCGATAAAGAAGACCATGTCTAACCAATAACCAGTATATGGAATACAGATCAAGTATACACACAAAAACATGCATGGAACCTGTTAAGTCTGTGTGTTTTAAGTTTTAGTTCAGAAACATTTGGGTCTTAATCAATAACGTTTTCAATAATTATAAGACTATTTGTGTAGCTAGCAATTTCCCTACTGTCGCATGAAGGGCCATGGTCCTCGCAATACAGGGAAATCCATCAAAAGGGTCGGCAAGATTCGGAGCATATGTTTGGCCCCCACGGAAATCGGCAGATAGGAGACACAGGCAAGGAGTGATGCCAATAATCTTCCACTATCAAGACAGATCAATTTATGCAAAATTAATAGTGTGCTATTGCATGGGCCACCTTTGTATAGCGTGTGTTTGCTGTTGGCCTGGTAGGGCGATAGAGCTGTGAATAATTAACAGAACACCTGGTGAATGCCACCAGTTTTTTCTGCAAATAGTTTTGAGAATGCAAGGTTCCCAACCTATTGTGAAATATGCCAATAATGTAATGAGTTCAATAAAACAAAATTCTCGGATTGATCAATCGCGAGTCTTCAAGGTGAAAAATTTTATAATTGATTTTTTATCAATATTTTACTACGGACGAAGCTGACCGTACTACAGCATGTAATATCAATTGTTTGTTTCACGATTCTTGCACTAACGAACACAAATAATTAATGTTTGATAATTCTTTTCTTCTTTGTTTTTGAAACAATTGATGACATATGGATGATGGGCCTTGTAACGGAACTTGTTCAAAGACACCCATTACCTTCCTTGTCTGTCATCTAGTATAAACACATTGCAATCAGTTGTCGTTCATAGCCTGTACATTGCACAGCAGTGTGTTTGTTACAGGTAGCTATTTCACAGATGCTGTTGTATGTTTCCTTTGATTGGTTTATTTGCCATGTGCTTGACTCTGGTCATGCAGGTGCCCCTTGAGGGCCAGCTAGCACTGCGGAATTGATTACAAGGCTCATAGTTTGGGATGCCAGATAATTGGTCACAAAACACTAGAAAGGTCCACTTGCACAAAAACATCTGGGAATCAATCATAAAACTAAAAGCTCTCCTTTGGAGACTAAACTATCATATGTATTTTTATGTTAAGTTTTTGTACATAAATGTTTGTAAATCAATGTAAACTATTTCTGCTAAATAGTCAGAAAAGCATAGTTGAACCCTAATCGAAATAAATTGTTTCTATTAACGGAACAAAATAATATAAAAAAATTTGTCATATTTTTTTTCTGTTTGTACTTTGTATGGAAGAGTATAAATGATATTTCTACCTCTTTTTATCAAAGCAAATTCCCCAAACAAGCATCTGAACATTCCAAGAGAGTAGATTGTTTGAGGGTAAAGGTCTTTCTTCATCTTCTTTATCCAGTGTATCATATCTCCATTTAGTTAGGATATGTATCCTGGATGCTGGAAATAGACAGCCAATCAAATTACTCTGTGCTTTCATGGATGAAACAAGAAGCAGTATTACTAGTAATAAATTTGACTTTTGCGTGTTGTCTTGTAGCATAAGGATCCCCCTCTCACAGTCTAATGTACTCAAGAAAACATATTTTCTAGCCAAATGTTCATAAATAACAATCTTGTGATCTGATTGAATACATCAGGGCCTGCTCAGCCAAGGTCATGACTGTCGATGTGGATCTACGCGGTATATCAGCATTCATCATAAGCAAGAAGCAGTACTGATTTAGTGGTAAGAGTGGAAGAGTGGAACTCACTTCCAAAAAATTGGTATTGTAGCACATGAGCTCCAAGGAGTGTCATAACAATACAGTGAGTGAGTGAGTGAGTTGAGTTTTACGCCACTTATAGTAATATTCCAGCAATATCATGACGAGGGACCAGAAACGGGTTTCACCCATGTGGGGAATCGAACCTGAGTCTTCGGTGTGATGAGCGAATGCTTTAACCACTGGGCTACCCCACCGCCCCAATAGCAATACAGATACTGGATAATTGAGGATGAGCTTTCTCAAGGTTGCTGTGTGATCAAGGTTACAACATTCAAAGCCTCAGTAAAGCTTCTATAAGATTTTACAAAGATATATGAGAGATATTTCCAAATATATCATACTCCATCCTTTCCTCTCTTCTTCTACCTTTCACTCACTCACTCACAGCCTGAAGTTGCAGCTCATGATTATAGATCCCCCCACTCCCTCAAATGGTATTTTACTGGTATATTGACTGAGAGTTTGCAACTCATGATTATAAATCCCCCCACTCCCTCCAATGGTATTTTACTGGTATATTGACTGAGAGTTTGCAACTCATGATTATAAATCCCCACTCCCTCAAATGGTATTTTACTGGTATATTGACTGAGAGTTTGCAACTCATGATTATAAATCCCCCCACTCCCTCCAATGGTATTTTACTGGTATATTGACTGAGAGTTTGCAACTCATGATTATAAATCCCCCCACTCCCTCAAATGGTATTTTACTGGTATATTGACTGAGAGTTTGCAACTCATGATTATAAATCCCCCCACTCCCTCAAATGGTATTTTACTGGTATATTGACTGAGAGTTTGCAACTCATGATTATAAATCCCCCACTCCCTCAAATGGTATTTTACTGGTATATTGACTGAGAGTTTGCAACTCATGATTATAAATCCCCCCACTCCCTCCAATGGTATTTTACTGGTATATTGACTGAGAGTTTGCAACTCATGATTATAAATCCCCCACTCCCTCAATGGTATTTTACTGGTATATTGACTGAGAGTTTGCAACTCATGATTATAAATCCCCCCACTCCCTCCAATGGTATTTTACTGGTATATTGACTGAGAGTTTGCAACTCATGATTATAAATCCCCCCACTCCCTCCAATGGTATTTTACTGGTATATTGACTGAGAGTTTGCAACTCATGATTATAAATCCCCCCACTCCCTCCAATGGTATTTTACTGGTATATTGACTGAGAGTTTGCAACTCATGATTATAAGATCCCCGACTCCCTCAAATGGTATTTTACTGGTATATTGACTGAGAGTTTGCAACTCATGATTATAAATCCCCCACTCCCTCAAATGGTATTTTACTGGTATATTGACTGAGAGTTTGCAACTCATGATTATAAATCCCCCACTCCCTCAAATGGTATTTTACTGGTATATTGACTGAGAGTTTGCAACTCATGATTGTAAATCCCCCCACTCCCTCAAATGGTATTTTACTGGTATATTGACTGAGAGTTTGCAACTCATGATTATAAATCCCCCACTCCCTCAAATGGTATTTTACTGGTATATTGACTGAGAGTTTGCAACTCATGATTATAAATCCCCCACTCCCTCAAATGGTATTTTACTGGTATATTGACTGAGAGTTTGCAACTCATGATTATAAATCCCCCACTCCCTCAAATGGTATTTTACTGGTATATTGACTGAGAGTTTGCAACTCATGATTATAAATCCCCACTCCCTCAAATGGTATTTTACTGGTATATTGACTGAGAGTTTGCAACTCATGATTATAGATCCCCCACTCCCTCAAATGGTATTTTACTGGTATATTGACTGAGAGTTTGCAACTCATGATTATAAATCCCCCACTCCCTCAAATGGTATTTTACTGGTATATTGACTGAGAGTTTGCAACTCATGATTATAAATCCCCCACTCCCTCAAATGGTATTTTACTGGTATATTGACTGAGAGTTTGCAACTCATGATTATAAATCCCCCACTCCCTCAAATGGTATTTTACTGGTATATTGACTGAGAGTTTGCAACTCATGATTATAAATCCCCACTCCCTCAAATGGTATTTTACTGGTATATTGACTGAGAGTTTGCAACTCATGATTATAAATCCCCACTCCCTCAAATGGTATTTTACTGGTATATTGACTGAGAGTTTGCAACTCATGATTATAAATCCCCCCACTCCCTCCAATGGTATTTTACTGGTATATTGACTGAGAGTTTGCAACTCATGATTATAGATCCCCACTCCCTCCAATGGTATTTTACTGGTATATTGACTGAGAGTTTGCAACTCATGATTATAGATCCCCCACTCAAATGGTATTTTACTGGTATATTGACTGAGAGTTTGCAACTCATGATTATAAATCCCCCACTCCCTCAAATGGTATTTTACTGGTATATTGACTGAGAGTTTGCAACTCATGATTATAAATCCCCACTCCCCCCCTCAAATGGTATTTTACTGGTATATTGACTGAGAGTTTGCAACTCATGATTATAAATCCCCCACTCCTCCAATGGTATTTTACTGGTATATTGACTGAGAGTTTGCAACTCATGATTATAAATCCCCACTCCCTCCAATGGTATTTTACTGGTATATTGACTGAGAGTTTGCAACTCATGATTATAGATCCCCCCACTCCCTCCAATGGTATTTTACTGGTATATTGACTGAGAGTTTGCAACTCATGATTATAAATCCCCACTCCCTCAAATGGTATTTTACTGGTATATTGACTGAGAGTTTGCAACTCATGATTATAAATCCCCCACTCCCTCAAATGGTATTTTACTGGTATATTGACTGAGAGTTTGCAACTCATGATTATAAATCCCCCCACTCCCTCCAATGGTATTTTACTGGTATATTGACTGAGAGTTTGCAACTCATGATTATAGATCCCCCACTCCCTCAATGGTATTTTACTGGTATATTGACTGAGAGTTTGCAACTCATGATTATAAATCCCCACTCCCTCCAATGGTATTTTACTGGTATATTGACTGAGAGTTTGCAACTCATGATTATAAATCCCCCACTCCTCTCAAATGGTATTTTACTGGTATATTGACTGAGAGTTTGCAACTCATGATTATAGATCCCCACTCCCTCCAATGGTATTTTACTGGTATATTGACTGAGAGTTTGCAACTCATGATTATAGATCCCCCCACTCCCTCCAATGGTATTTTACTGGTATATTGACTGAGAGTTTGCAACTCATGATTATAGATCCCCCGACTCCCTCAAATGGTATTTTACTGGTATATTGACTGAGAGTTTGCAACTCATGATTATAGATCCCCCACTCCCTCAATGGTATTTTACTGGTATATTGACTGAGAGTTTGCAACTCATGATTATAGATCCCCCCACTCCCTCAAATGGTATTTTACTGGTATATTGACTGAGAGTTTGCAACTCATGATTATAAATCCCCACTCCCTCAAATGGTATTTTACTGGTATATTGACTGAGAGTTTGCAACTCATGATTATAGATCCCCACTCCCTCCAATGGTATTTTACTGGTATATTGACTGAGAGTTTGCAACTCATGATTATAGATCCCCACTCCCTCCAATGGTATTTTACTGGTATATTGACTGAGAGTTTGCAACTCATGATTATAAATCCCCCCACTCCCTCCAATGGTATTTTACTGGTATATTGACTGAGAGTTTGCAACTCATGATTATAGATCCCCCCACTCCCTCCAATGGTATTTTACTGGTATATTGACTGAGAGTTTGCAACTCATGATTATAGATCCCCCCACTCCCTCCAATGGTATTTTACTGGTATATTGACTGAGAGTTTGCAACTCATGATTATAGATCCCCCCACTCCCTCAAATGGTATTTTACTGGTATATTGACTGAGAGTTTGCAACTCATGATTATAAATCCCCCCACTCCCTCCAATGGTATTTTACTGGTATATTGACTGAGAGTTTGCAACTCATTAGCTTCAGTATTTTCGCCTTAAAGCAATGTGTCATCAATTTTTCATTTTCTCTGTACAAAGTAGAATTGATTTTCTAAAGTGGAGACCTATAATGTTTGTTTCTTGTAGGTAGAGTCCTGATAAGTGGTTGCTGAAGAAATTGTCCACCAAAACAATTCCTGCTAAATATGACCCCACTTTATTCTTTGCCAGTGCGGCCAATTGATAGCAAAAGATTAAGTCTGGTCAAGGGGCGGTGGGGTAGCCTAGTGGGTAAAGTGTTCACTCGTCATGCCGAAGGCCCGGGTTCTATTACCCACATGGGTTAAAGGTGTGAAGCCCATTTCTGGTGTCCCCTGCCGTGATATTGCTGAATTATTGCTAAAAGCGGCGTAAAATCAAAACTCACTCACTCAGTCTGGTCAAAAACTCCCTGTGTTCCATTTAAGATGAAGTTGATCATTTTACCAATTTATATATAAATCATAAAAAAGAAGAATGAGGCTAACAAAACATAGCTTTCCATATTATATCTGTAATAAATTTAGTATTCTTATCAAATGCACTAAATCTTATAGCATTCTATGTCAAGTGATTTTGCTATTTCATTGCTCAAACAGCACTAAATATAAATATTTTAGTATGTCATGAATACACTAAGAAGGATGTTTTAGAACACCCAACTGTTATATAATTAATTTGTCATGGAATTCTTTCACATTACTACAGTTTCTGTGTCATGTCATGGCTAATTAGCTATGTAATATGAAAGAATTGATAACTCTTTTTGAGTAGTATAAAATAATGCAACTTATCTTTTAGAACTAACATTTATTTTCAAGTGATTTATAATCTGTGCTAAACCTAGGCCATTCACTAGGCCCTGTTCTGTTATAAATAGCAGTAAATGCTATTTGGAATACCTTTAGACATTTGAAACAAACATGGGGAAAACAAACTCACACAAGCCATTAGAAACACAGCAGACCGTAGTAGTAGAACTAGAGTAATGCTTAGTCATGGAAAATAATATTTGGATAAAAATTAATAGCTCCATTTAATTTGAAAAGGCGCCCTGGTGAGATAGGAGATTCAGACAATGTAGACATGCTTCCAATATTTGGGACTTTGGCATTACAGAAAAGGCATGGTGGAAAGGAAAACAGTACCTTTCAAGGACTGTTGGACAGACTCCAGTAGGCTTTTTTTCAGAAAATACAGTGTTGAGGAGAAACAAAGACTGGCACCAGTCTAGTGAAAGACCTGACCCATGTTGTAATGGTGAGAACGACCAGTAGGACGGACAAGCTAATGAAAGTTTTCAAGACATACTTCTGCTATCTAATCAATGGGTCCATACCACCGCATGTTCGAGTCCGGCTAATTGATTATCTCGTCTGCGAGAACACTCCACCTGCTGACAACCTCTAATCAGTATATATTGA